TGAAAAGAAGATTATCAGAAGTAGTCAACATGGATTCACCAAGGGGAAGTCATGTCTGACTAATCTGATAGCCTTCTATGACAAAGTAACTAGATGGGTGGATGAGGGGAGGGCAGTGGATGTTGTCTACCTTGACTTTGGCAAGGCTTTCGACACTGTCTCCCACATCATCCTCACAGGAAAGCTTAGGAAGTGTGGCTTAGATGAATGGACAGTGAGGTGGATTGAGAACTGGCTTACAGATAGAGCTCAGAGGGTTGTGGTTAGTGGCGCAGAGTCTAGTTGGAGGTTAGTAACAAGTGGTGTCCCTCAGGGGTCAGTACTGGGCCCAGTTTTGTTCAACATATTCATCAATGATCTGGATGAAGGGATAGAGTGTACCATCAGCAAGTTTGCTGATGACACAAAACTGGGAGGAGTGGCTGACACGCCAGAAGGCTGTGCTGCCTTACAGCGTGACCTCGCCAGGCTGGAGAGTTGGGCAGAAAGAAACCTTATGAAGTTCAACAAGGGTAAGTGTAGGGTACTGCACCTGGGGAGGAATAACCCCATGCACCAGTACAGGTTGGGGGCTGACCTCCTGGAGAGCAGCTCTGTGGAGAGGGACCTGGGAGTCCTGGTGGACTCATCCTCCCCCTCTACTCTGCCCTGGTGAGGCCACATCTGGAGTACTGCATCCAGTTCTGGGCTCCCCAGTTCAAGAAAGACAGGGATCTGCTGGACAGGGTCCAGCCAAGGGCTACAAAGATGATTAGGGGACTGGAACATCTCTCTTATGAGGAAAGGCTGAAGGACTTGGGTCTCTTTAGTCTAGAGAAAAGAAGATTGAGGGGGGATCTTATTAACGCTTACAAATACTTAAAGGGAGGGTGCCAGGGGGATGGGAACAGTCTTTTTTCAGTGGTGCCCAGTGATAGGACGAGGGGTAATGGGCACAAGCTTGAACATAGGAAGTTCCATCTTAACATGAGAAGGAACGTCTTTACTTTGAGGGTAGTGGAGCACTGGAACAGGCTGCCCAGAGAGGTGGTGGAGTCTCCCACTCTGGAGACATTCAAAACCCACCTGGACGCCGTCCTGTGCAACCTGTTGTAGGTGCCCCTTCTCTGGCAGGGGGGTTGGAATAGATGACCTCCAGAGGTCCCTTCCAACCCTGACCATTCTGTGATTCTGCGATTAGCATAGCATGAGCTAAAATAGGATCAGTTGTTTATTGTATTTTTTAAAGAATAATATGTTTTAATTAGAAATTTATCTATTATACAGATTTTAAAATTCAGTAAGAACAAGGTGTTTATCTGGGGTACAGTGACAAAGCCTACCTGAAGTAAAAATGCCTATTGTAGTCCATATCAGCTGGTCCTAAATGTTTCTAAAATGATAGCCTATCTATTAATCTAATGACTTTGATGTTAGAAAACACTGGCATTAAAATGATACCTAATCAACCACTTAGTGGTCTATTTTTTTACATCAAACAGCCATGGGATAAAATACACGTAAAACTTAAATATTTCTTAAAGTAAAGGCTAAAAATCAAGGAATGGGCACAGATGAATGCCTTAACCCTCTTTCCCAGTGAATCTCTGCACACAAAACAGAACAAGGTCAGAAAGGTCAGGATGCAGCTGCAGTAAAAATGAATGGAAGGGAATGGAGGATGGAGGGTGCCTTGCCACCAAATTGGATATGCACACCAAGATAATGAGTTATCTTTTTTCCCCACAGTTTTTATACAGTTGTTCCCCTACACTGTTTCAGAAAAAATGAAAAGCGTTTATTCCCTAGGCTGATGAATGTAATTAAAACTTGTTTTAAGCAGTACTGACAAACCCATTTCTTGAGATGTTAAAAATGACAGGCACATTTAAACACAACAATAATTTCATGAAGCCATCAGAAAATAAAATTAATAAGCTTGCTGGTTTTGTTTTTTAGTAGTGTTTTTCAGTAGTGTTTCTCCAAACACAAAATTTTAATTGCAGATGAGTTTTATTCTTGTAGTCCTGTTGATAGATTTGAGACGAGCGACATACATTATTAATTGTATTGTGTAGGGGATCACATTTCAAATAAGAGCTTTGTCTGACTGAGCTACTACAGCCTGTCTGATTGTTGCGGAATTGTCATGAAATGGAAATGATGCCTGGGAATGTTGAACTTGATATTATGTTTCCAAATACCATGAATAACATTACAGTAGCTTTAATGAATTTCATAGGAGAAAAATGTCATTAAACAAAGCGACAATATTAACCTTGGTGCCTTGTCCAAATTCCAGTCTGGCTAGTTGCATTCTGACACCTATTATTTCTCAGTTGTTTGAAGTTGGTATGTCTGTGTACCTCGCTGTTTGTTCATTGATACGTTAATGCCACACATCGCCAACTCATTGCTGTCTGTCACCCCAGAGTTAGCTGATTACCACTCTTGACCATCCAAGTGCTTTTAACGAAGCCGTAACTACAGTACATGACCTTGAAAATATTCCTTTCAATCTACCTTCCCACAGTTCATCAAGTTACTTAGATACTGTTTAACCTAACAAGTAGGCATAGATATTTATTTCAGTGCTTTTTAAACATACAGTACAATCGCACATCCCAGTTCTAATGAACTGCCAAAGTCCGTTAACATGCGCTTAAAGTTGGACACAGAGATAACCTCCCACAAAATAGTGCTTTAGAGACGCACTCTGAGAAGGACCTCCTAATCACCCCCACTTAACTATGCTTTCCTTTGAATTGTGGAGTGGTCTCTGAGAACATGACCTGAACTATGGATGAAATTTAAGTGAAGATAGGCTACAGGATCACAACTCGTCCACCTCAGCACCAGCTAATCATGGAGACAATAGCCTTGGAGTAGAGATAATCCAAAGTTAAAAATAAATTACCAAAATGTGGACTTCCTAATAAACTGGTTTACTCTACAGCTCTACTCCTGTTGGTTCAAACTACTTCCTTACGTAGACATAGTCATTTTCAAGCGCTTTATTCAAAGGAGATGATCTGCATTGTATTATCTTACTGTTCTTTAATGTAAGCGTGTCCCATGGGTCCAAGTCTGGATTTGAGAAAACCCTTCTGACATTGCCATACTTGTTGACAGTTGTAGAGGGCTTATGGAGGAAAAGATTCCGAAGACCTAAATCCTGACTCATTGAAAGATTAAAAAAAAAAAAAAAAAAAAAAAAGAACTGTGATTTGGAATTGCCAAATTCCACATTCAGGCAGGTTCTTCAGTGACAACCTTGTATAACAGTTTTTTGTGTGTCTGTTAAATCTCAAAGATGTAATTTCTAATATCGTTCCCAAGAGCCTCCTCAAATCTTTAATCTCTTTAATCTCCTCACTCCTTTAATCTTGAGTGCCATTTGTAATAACCAATTCAGACTTTCATGCGCACTAATTTTCCTGTTTGGGAGACCAGACAAGATCATCGAGGATCATATAAAATATTTAAATTAGGCATATATTTTTATATGCATTGATGGTGATTAAAATATACAAGCCCAAAAAAACATAAGATCAGAAAGAAGTAGTGCCAAATACCACTGGAAGAGAGTCCTCATATCACGTAGTGAATAGACTTTTCTTGAAAACCTCATATATAGGTAACTGTAGGTAATCAATCATACCCCATTTCTGTTGGGATCAGGTGCAATGTCCTGTTCTCTCAGCAGAACAACTGAATCCACATCCCTCCCCATCTGCTATATAAGGACCCCAGAAGCTGCACAGATTGTACTGCATGTTGCACATGGCACTGTTGTTTGAAGCCTCAAGCTGTGTGTTAAACTGTAGCTGGATTGTCACCATTAAGGGTTTGTCACAGTCTGACTTAGGGAGGAAGTAATGATCCGAAAACAGATGTGAAGTTTTAAATGTACATCATCAGATCTTCCGGATTAATTTCAGGCTTAACACTGCCTTGGATTTTCTTCAGGTAGAAGAAAGAAGACAAAGACATGGGGAGAAGAGTGACAGGATAAGTGGAAAAGAGTAGACAGGATCATGTGAGCACAGATGCTAATGACCTGAAAAACACCATTTTATTTAACTGTTACATATGTCTGCACAGAACTCATTCATTTGAAAGCAGTCGTAATGTGTATAAAGAGCCTTTTAAGATTTCATAAAGGGAAATCTTTTTTTTCCCCTCTTTTTGAAGTTTCTGTTTCAGATTAAGGATATTTCTGATTCAGTATCAGGTCACAACCAAGTCATTTCAAAGATGCTCTCTCTCTAACTCACTTCCTTGCACACGCACACATATGAATATGAACAGCAATGAAGAAGCAGAGGGGAAGCAAAAGGAAAAGAGTGAGCAAAGATTGCTAAAGACTTTGAGTGAGCCACAGTCAATGTCCTCATAGTGAAAGAAATTTCCTGCTCTATGGGCGGCGGTGGCTCAAATCTTGTATACAAATACAAATGAATTCATGTCTTGCATGTCCCCCTCTCATCTGAACACTCTAGTAGTAACACAGCCACTGGCTTTTCATGTGAAGATAATCATATATGTATTTCTCTATTCTAACTAGATTTTTTTTCAGTCTGAGTTTGAGAAACCTTTAGTTAAATCTAGTACATTTATGAAAAATAAAAAAAAAAAAAAAAATAAATCTGTATTTAATGGTCGGTAACTTCCAAAGAAGACAGGCTTTTTGTCACAAAGATCCTGACTGAATATCTTTTTATATTGAACATATTTCTATGTTGAACTTATATATAACTTCCAACAAAAATAGTAGGATTCCTTTTCAATTAAAAATAAAGAACATTTGGATGTGATTGGCCGAGGGTACTTTAAGATCTATAACATATGAATGAAAAGTACTGCTAAATCCTTAATTTATCACCAGTCATAGTGTCTTGCTCTTTGATTACACCTAATCTTGTGCTAAAAATTCTCAGCAGTACTGTACAACATATGTTACAGAAATCCCTGATGCAGTCAAGAAAAACCAAGACAAAAACAGCAGAGAAGTTGCTTACCTGTCTGAACTGTTCAAGATCTATTTTGTTTCCCACCAGCACCAAGGGGATGTCATAGGTGTGCCGGACACGATAAATGAGTTCCTTAAACTCAGCAGCTTCTTGAAAGGATTGGCGGTCTGTGATGGAATAGCAAATAATGAAGCCTTCCCCACCTCGCATGTATTGGTCCCTCATGGCTGTGAATTCTGCCTGTGGAATACGAAGAACATGCTCAGTAATTTGGAAAACAAAATTGTCTGTCTGTAAATAATGAACTTGCTGAAAACTTCCCCATTCCCTACATAATTTCACATTGCTTCTTTTACTGTTTTAAATACTGTTTGCTGAAACTTGTGCATCCTTCTGGGATCATTATCCTGGATAATACACCACCAGCATTTCTCTTAGGACCTTTTTTTCCCCCACTTTTCCTATCAAGGGAACTCTGTCCTCTAAGAACATGAACTTCTACATGCAGAAAGTACTGTCTCATGTATTTCTAGAATGTTCTACAGCACTTTTGGTACACATAGATAACTTACGATTGAACGAATGCTAACCATTGTAAAAGAAGAGCTATGTTACTGGCTAGGGATAGTAGACAAGTACAAACTCCTTATTATGCACTCAATTCAAAAGCTCAGTAGTTTCAAAAAGACATTCATTGGCTCCCACCAACTTTGAAATAGTGCCTAGTAAAACAGGAATATAATCCGCAAAGAGTTTTGTTCTTTCAAATGCTCTCAGAGAAGCTGGGAGTTTCAGTTCAGTGTGGGATAATACCACTAAATGAAAATGAACGATTTCAAGATTGTGAGATTTGGCCCATTTGGCCAAATCCCATTTGGGATTTGTGAGATTTGGCCCTCCTGAATTTTCCTCTATTTGTGTATGTATTTATTGTCACAGCAACACTTGTAGTTATTGGTGTGGTTTTTCAGAAGTATTTACAAGTGTCACATCATACAAAAATCAAGATTTAGTTTTCCAAAACTAGTCTCAGGCACTGTGGCTTGAAAACATCTTTTAAAGTCAGTTTCTTTTTCAAGTTTGTTTGCTCTTCTTGATCATAGCCCAGAATAACCCAATACCATGCCAACAGTCGGTCGGGATCAGAATGCCCCTGACAGAATCAGTTCTCCAGAGATATTAAGATGCAGGAAGGTCTGATAAAGCAAAGAATCAACATTGGACCATTTCTATGAGTAGCAGGATGAAATATCAAGTCCTGTATTTTTTATTCTGTTAAGAATTTAGTCTAGGATTTTTAAAACAGTTTAGGTTACACATATATCCTCACTTCTTGCTGAAAATTGAAGGGAAATGGATTGCTTACACTCTTTTAAAAGTCTCAGCCTTAAATCTCTCTCAATAGTCACTCATGTTGATTGATAATACTTCCTGTGAATAGACTTTCGTGTTGACCATTATCATTTATTCATGATGTATCTTTTACCCAAGGGCTTTCTTATATATCATTCAAAATGTTTCACCTGCTACAGGAAAAAAATCATAGACTAAGCTCCAAAGTAGCAGACTAATAGGCAATTTAAAGGTAGGATTCTGCTTTGAGACTTAGTCGGAATTTCAAAATCTCTAAACTATCACAGCTGGCATCCCAGGAGAGTTTATTAACTACCAATCTACAGCACAGAGTGGCTCAGGCCATATTCTGTCTCATTGACTTGAAACTGGATGTGTAAGAAGTAGGGCAGCAGTGGGGAGAAACAGAAAAGACATCAAACAAAAAGGATTCTATACTCTGCTAGTTTGGGCGAGACAATTCCTGGAGATCTCTGTTCCCAGGTCTCTTTGCCCACCATCTACATGAGATAGCCACTCGATTAATAAGCAATGCAATACCAAGCTGCAGACCATACACAAGGTCTCCAAGTTGTGGGTAGGGAGTGTTAATGACTAAACACAGAGACATACTCCCTGTCACTCACTTACCCTCAGATCTCAGGCTTTTCTGCCAGAACAAGGGCCTCTCCGCACTCCCTGTGCCCCTGACTTTCTTCTCTTTGCATCAATCACCTAGAACTGTTCTGCACCATGATTAGTTGGGTAGTCTCCTTTGCAGGAGGAGCTGACCAAGGCCAGGATCCCTTCAGGCTGAGCAGAGAACAGAAACCTTGTGTGGAGTTACACTTGTGGAGTAAGGCTCATGAATTTAGCTGTCTGTGTAGCTGCAGGCCACTATCAAAGCCCCCATCACAGGTAATGGTAAACTAGTCAATCCAACTAATGGACTACAGATCGCTTCTGCCGATGAAAAATAGATATCTCCTTAGTTATCAAATTATTTATTTTTTGTTTATCTATTTGTGGTTTTAGAGTGTGCTGAACATTTATACGACTGAATGGAGGCACTAGTTCCCACGCAGGCACCTAAAACTAGATGTTTTAGTAGGGAACCTAAATCCCGGTCCAGATGACATGTCTCCCTGAGTCAGAGATTTCATAAATCAACTACTGTTAACACTGTATGAATATTCTGCACAACCTTTTACAAAGAATGAGCTCTGCTTTGTAAGTTGATCTGCCTCTGGGACGTGCTCAGAGCTTTGTACCCTCATTTATAGACATTTAAGGAAAACAAGGAAGGAATTAGGTCACATATCCCTGTTTAAGTTACTCAAAGCAAGTGACTTTCTGGACCATGAGGACTCCCAAGATCACTGCCCAGGAACAGTTAATGGCTTTCCTTGACTGCCAGCAGATTCTGGGTTCCTAATTTTGTGCACTGAATCATTCCAAAGGGACAGAGTGCTCAGCTTTTAGGTACTGCCATTCTTGAGTCAGAGTCATTTACCTACGTGCTCTAGTTCATGTCTGGGCATAATTATGATTTTAAGGATATGAATGAATTTAATTTATTTCTGCAATTTTTTATTATGACATATTAATGCTGATGATATATTAGACTAAATAGCCAAAATCCTTTAGTGTCATGTTTGCAGTGATCCATTTTAAGAGGCATTAATTATTCTATGTAAACTGGATTGGGGACTTCCACTTGGTTTTCTGTTGTTAACTCAGTTAGTCAATTCCATTCTTATTTTTTGATGTTGACTTTCACTTCTCAGCTTTTTCCCCTTGGCATGATTGCTCATTACAGAGTCAAGGACTCCAAGGTCAAACATAAATGAGCCTTTTTCTTGTGTTTCAAAAGAAGTGGGTTTTTTCCCCCTGTTCACCAAGAACCCTAACATAAGAATATATACTAAAAAAAAAAGAATAAATATAATTCCAGTAAACATACAGTAAGCCTTGCAATAAAGTATGCAGATTATATAGACAAGACACAAGACTAGGATGCAGTTAAATCTCTTTGTTCATTTTTCAGTTCAAGTCCTACTCCAGATTTCCCAGTTTCCATGTATCTCTACAGTAAGCAGAACCAAAATCCAAGTTCATCTGGGTTTTGTGGATGTTCAGAGGTAGATGGAGAGAAACTCAAAGGTTCTACAGTTTTTTTTTCAGTGGTTTTATTTTTGCCTGGTTCTTGTATAAAATAAGCAACAGTGTATCTGTGCAGCTGGCACACTAATAATTTCTTTAATTGTTTCCTGCTGTAAAAGTGGCTTTTTAAAAAAGTATTCAGGAATAGTACTAGATGCCATTTGCTACTCAATAAGGGGGAAATATGAAACATTCCCCAGTCACTAAATGCCAAAGGGAAGAGAGAGAAGGAAATCACACCTCCTCAAAAGGAAATCAATTCTGAGAATTAAAGTGAAGATTTGTCATGCTTATAGCACTTTGCAGCTTGACATCAGTCTCTAATACTCTCTTGTGTATTATGACTAAGACTTAACTGAAAAGTGAAGTAAGAAATCTTCTGGAACAAAATCACCATTCTTCTTGGGAGAGATGTTATATTTGAGAAAAAGCATCAAGTCTAGATAGAAACAAAATAAAACTTTTCTAAAAGTTGAAAGCAGGCAACTTAACTTTTTCCTTTTCTTTTTCCATTATAATTGAATGCAGAAAAAACCTGAAACTAATCCTCATATGATTATATATGTCTGCCTGATGTTGAAGAAAGTTAGCAAGAAAATCTTGCAGTGATTAAGTAAATGTCATTTGCCTTTTATTAGTTATCAGGCATCTCACATGATTTTTCAAAGGTGACAGAATGGCCTCACAGTGACATAGAGCAGCTCCCTCAACATGTTTAGATACATCCCATCCTGTTGCACCAAACTACATGCACCCAGCTTGACTAACTTGTCTCTTGTTGATCCCCCTCTACTAATGGTAGTGTATTTCTTCCTCAAACTTTCCTGTGAGTTGTAAAGACCTGGGAGAGCTAAAAGCGTAAAAGCACAGCTTCCTGGTAAAGAATAGAGAAAGTCCTAAGTGTGTTAGTCTTTTCCATGTTCCTCATCATTCGGCCACTGACTCATTTCAGTAGCAGCCCCTCATTTTTACTTGTCTTCCTTTAGTTGCAAATGTACCTGTAGAAACCTATCTCTTTGCCTTTTATATCTCTCAAAAGTTTCAATTCTAGCAATACTTTGGATTTCATAAGCCAACCCACTCATGCCCAAGAAATACTTCCATACTGATCCTTGGGACACTGTCCCTGTTTCCACATTTCATCCCTCTGTATGTTTGCTTTTTCTATTAACTTCTAGGAGAACAACTTAACAAAGAAACCTCTATTTCCTTTGTGATCTTGATTTATCCTCTTTCATCTCACTTTTCATAATGAGTGAGAGAAAGCCTTTCATAAAGAGCAATATTTGTAATTAGTTTTAAAATTCATATTGTTTTCATAGAAATATAAATAGAACTTACATGCGTTCTTTTTTGTTGGTGGTTTTGTTTTTGTTTTTTTTTTTTTTCATTAGAGACTAAAATCCTTTCCATATGAGATCAGTATCCTAGTGTCTCCAGAAGAGGAAACAAAGGCATTGAGCAGCAAAGTCAGAAGGACTACATTTAGATACCTAGATCCTTATGAAGGATTAGTTTATTGGTTGCTATCAACCATAACAGTCTGGATCTAACATTCAGCTCAGGACAACCCTACCCTGTTGACTAAAAGAATCTAGGAAGGTGTATCACAAAGTTCACAAAAGCCAAGCCTGGTTCTTTCCTGTTTCCTAAGTATTTCCTCCTGGACAATGCTGGGG